AGGATGTAAGCACCCTGAGGAGGAGGACTATGTTTATGTTAATCAGTGCCAACTCCATTGCCTGGTCAGAGTTACACCCAGGACATTTATGTAATTAACTGTGTCAAGTTAACAGAAATTAAGGTGCTTATTATGAGCACAGTATGTTGGATGTCAGTTTACTAGTACCTGCTGTGACGATGGAAATACTGACCTTGAAGTTGCCCGATGGCTCCAGGGTAAAGAGGCAGATGCCTATCCGTGACTCTGAACGGCACAGGGTGGCTGACAAAGTAGCAGGCAGCAAGGGAGTGGAGGAAGACAGAGGCCTGACCTCAGAGGAAGAAACTTGGTTTCAAAACAGGAGTAGGAGCCGGGTGTGATGGCACACACCTGTAATCCCAGCACTCCAGAGGCTGAAGCAGGAGGATTTTTGCAAGTTCAAGACGAGCCTGGGCTACAAAGTGAGCTCAGGGCCAGCCTGAACTGCACAGCGAGACCCTGTCTCAAAAAAGAAAGAAAGAGGAGTAGGAAATTTAGAGAGAGGTTTCTACATTGTAGGGTAGTGGGTAGCCTCCTTCTGATCCCCACTAGAAGGAAGGACGTGGGCTGGGGTGGGTCTTAGTGCCAGGTTTCACTTGGGGGCAGGATTTAGATGGAACTGTTTGGGCTGAAATAAAATTCTTTATCCTGGGGGTAAAGAGAATCTCTGAAGAGTTAGATGCAGAGAAATCTGTCTGGCTTTAATTGTTCTGAAGTCTTGCTTCACTGTGGAGTTAGGATGGGGTCAGCCCAAGGAGAGTGAGGAGGCAGGTGCAGTAGTCCATAGGGATGAGGATATAACTTGAAAGGAGTGGCCGAGCTCAAGCAGCTAAACACCCTCGGGGGAAAGAGTCTCCTCCTACCAGCAGACCCCAGCAACAGACCTTCAGATAAGGAGAGCAAGGGACTGTTGTACGCCCGAGATACCTCTCAGGTGACCAGGAAGATGGTGCCCCACGCGTGAACACAGGACCAGCACAGGGCAAGGGACAGGGAAGAGGAGGGGGTAAGTTCTGCATGAGGTTTGCCGACGTGAAGAGCCTGCGACACACCCACGAGCAGTCCACCGGCCACGGAAGTACAGGGATACTGAGCCCAGGACTGTTCCAGGCTGAGGCTGTGGACTTGGGAACCGCCCACCTGCAGAGGCCCTGACAGTAATGAAGCAAGTGAGGTCCCAAAGCAGAACTGAGCCCTGTGGAAGGATCTGCACAGGTGCGCAAGAGGCCAGAGCACCAAGTGCAAAGCCAGGAGAACCAGGTTGGGAAAGGCGTTTGGGAAGGGACTCGGCTCACAGCCTTGGCTTTGATGAGAGGTTGTGGGTGATACTATGGAGCACAGGAAGCAGGAGGGTCAGTGCCTTTGGCTTAATGGAGAGAGCTCGGACTTTGTGGAGTTACATGCAAATCAGAGTTCAAATCTTATTTCCACTCCTCATGGCCATGAGACCTTTTTTATATATATATATTATTATATTATATTATATATATTATTTTATATATTTTTGAGACAGGGTATCACTATACAGTTCAGGCTGACCTTGAGCTCACTTTGTAGCCCAGGCTGGTCTCGAACTCGAAACGATCCTCCTGCCTCAGGATCCCAAGTGCTGGGATTATAGGCGTGCGCCACTCCCCCAACTCTTCCACCCCCCACCCTGTTCTGAGGCCTTCATTAATAAGCAAAACTTTTCAAACCTTAGTCTCTTCCTCCGAAAATCGTGGACAGTAACTACAATACCTCTTAAGAGCATTACAAAAAAAAAAGAGCATTACATAAAACAGGGCTGGGGATGTAGCTCAGCCAAGGCTATGGGTTAGATCCCCAGCCCTAGGGCTGGGGATTTAGCTCAGCGGCACAGCAGCTGCCTAGCAAGCACAAGGTCATGAGTTTGATTCCTGGTACTGGAAAAAAATTAAAAAAAAAAAAAGATCCCCAGCCCTGGAAAAAAAAAAAGTAAGGTGAAAGCAGATCAAGCCAAGCATTGATGGTGCATGCCTGTAATCCCTGAGCTCTGGGAGGCTGAGGCAGGAGGGTGCCAAGTGGGAGGATGGGGCGGGAGGGTCACAAGTTAGAGCTCAGTCTCAACAACATAGCAAGACCCTGTCTCCAAATAAAAAATGGGCTGGGGTGGTAGCTCAGTATGAAGGCCCTAGGTTCTATCTCCAGTATTAAAAAAAAAAAAAAAATTGAAAAAGTTAAAAATTTACTAGCTAGATATGGTGGTGCATGCCTATAATCCCAGCACTCTCAAGGTTGAGGCAGGAGGATAGCTGTGAGTTTGAGGCCAGCCTGGGCTATGTAGCGAGATCCTGTCTCAAAAGAATTTATAATTTCTTTGGTTTTTTTTTTTTTTGAGAAGTCACAAGTTATGGGGGAAGTGGCCACAGATTCGACAAATATTTGCAAGGGATAGGGGGTGTGCTAACTGGCTCCAGGCTGAGGAAATCGCAGGAAGCAAGGCGGTCACCCACTGTAAGCTCCCGGAGGCCTGAGGCTTGCAATCAGGCCGCCAGAGAAAGCAAGCATGAAGGTGTGGGGCTGAGCAGGGCGCTGACCCAGAGCTGTGTGCCAAGCACTTTTCCTCCACTCCAGAGCCCCACCCTCAGCAGGTGAGCAACACTCCACACCCTCAGCTGCATACATGAAGGAAATTGGACCCTGGAGGCTTCCATCCCTAGGGACCCTTGGGCATATTTGGAAGAGCAGGGCTGATATACAAGGTGGAAGACCAAGGAGTACAGGGAAACTTGACACAGTGCAGACCCCAGCCCCTTCCCCACTCCCAGGGCGTCAGCAGCCAGATGTTTATCTCACCCACTCTCCCTGGAGACCCTAGTGACTGTAGAAGAGAGAAAAATAACCTCCACTGACTAACATTTGTTAATTCTCCAGTGAAAAGCTAGTGGTTTTCTGATAAATTTCCAAAAACTGGCGAACAGCACAGGATCTAATTTTAAAAAGCCCAGCAAGGACCTAGTACAGTAAATGAAAAACACCTGAGGAGCTGGGGATTTAGCTCAGCGGCACAGCGCCTGCCTGGCAAGCGCAAGCTTGTGAGTTCAATTCCCAGTACTGGAAAAAAAAAAAAAAAAGAAAAAGACCTGCACCAAGGCACACCATCATACACTTTTTTTTTTTCTTTTTGAGACAGGGTCTTGCTTTGTAGTCCAGGCTGGCCTTGAACTCACTATGTAGCCCAGACTGGCCTCTCCTACCTCAGCCTCCTGAGTGCCGGGAGTACAGGTGGGAGCCACCATGCCCACCATCATACACTTGTAGAAAAGCTTGCAAAGGCATAGGAATCAGAATCACATCAGACCTCGTCAGCAACAGCAACTGGTACAACTTCATTTCTAACACAGTCGCACACCCAGTCTGTCCTCAACATGAGGTCGAAAAAGAGATTTCCAGACTCCAGGACACACACACACACACACACACACACACACACACACACACACACACACACGAAACTACTAGAGAATATGGTTCAATGAAAGGGAATAAAGCAAAAAGGAAGATGTGGGATGCAGCACAGAATAGTGGCAAAAGGAAACCCCAGGGCACTTGTATACCAGCTTCGTGAGCAGCGACCTGCAGCTAAAGGAGAAAAACCACAGTCTGTGCAACTCAGGTCTCCAGGGCAGAGATGGAACTGGTCAGTTAAGGGCTGCTACACATTTGGAGGGGGGACTAGGTACTTAAAACTAAGTGAAAAGGAAAATGATGATGCTTAACTCCAGTTAAAACTGAGTGGTAAGGAAAAAAATGTAATAGTTTACTATCTGAGTAAAGAGATTATGTAGTTGGCCAGTAAGGTAAACACTATGGATTTAGCGTTAATGTATAGGAAACTACACTGTAAGGCTAAAGAGAGAAAGTGGGGGAGACAGTCATACAGGAGAACTAATTCCTTCACCCATAATAAATAACTGTCCAAAGCTGGTGAGTCACAGCGCAGTCTCCAGGCTGCCACAGACTGGGTGGCTTAAGCAGCAGAAACTGATTTTCTCCCATCTCAAGGCTGGAAGGCTGACATCGGGCCTTGCCGGGGTGGTTGCCTCTGAGCCACCTTGTCCCTGGGTCCTCGCCTCTTTGCTCAGTTGTGTCTGAGGCCTAAGTGCGTCTCAGGACACCAGGTGTGTTGGATAAAGGCCCACCCCAATGACCTCATTTTACCTTAATTGTCTCTTTAAAGACCCTTTCTCCAAATATGGTCCCATTCTGAGATACTGAAGCGTTCAGTCTTCAACACATGGATTTGGGAAGGCCCAGTTTGGCCCATAGCAAGTAGTATAAGCTCATTATTTGGAAATACAGAAGACATAGCCAAGAGGGCTGACCATGGCCGCCTCTGTGCAGGGAGCCTGGAGGGTGGCACATGACCAGGCAGGTGCTATTTCATCTTTTACGAAACAGCAAGTCACAGAGCTGAGCCTTGAACCCAGTCTGAGCCTTGAATCCACAGCTCGAGCTCTTCCGCTCAGCCACATGATGTGGTGTCTCCCCGGCGCGGGTACGGAGCCACCTCATGGGGCCATCACTGCATTAGCGCTGCATCAGCATCACTGTGACCTTGAAAGCTGCCACTTTGGTGTTTTGTGTTTTTTTCCCTGGTTTCAAAAATAGGGGAAGATGAATGCAGGGAATCCTGGCAACCAGGCTTTAATATGGAGCATCCTGCCTAGAGTTTCCTGCCTCAGTGTCCTGGAACTCTTGGGTGCATATCTGCTTTTACTTTGAGTTTTGATCCTTTGAGTCTCAATCCTCGGTCCATCCTGACAAGGCTCGTGCTGGCGTCTCCACCCCTCCTCCCTGGGCCCTAAAACAGCCTCTCGCCCCTGTTTCTTGAGGCAGCTTGGCGGTGGGAGGTGGCCACAGCCTTGGAAAGTTACTCTCAGCCTTAGGACTAGCATGGCACTCACGGTGATTGACGGCCACATCTCGTACTGGGCTTTGGTCGTTCTTGTGTTTAGGTTGCTGTGCAGCTGTGCGCCCCATTCTTAAGTCTGCCTGGATCTCGGGGTGCCTTCCCTGCCAGGAGCGCACAGCCAGTGACCTCGAGAGTCGTGGAGGTTGGTGTGTATGTGTGTCTGTCTCCTCGTGCCTCGCATTATTGCTTCCTAATAAAAATCTGATAGCTGAGCCCCATCAATATCTCAAATACATGTGAGGAAACGTTAATTTAGAATCAATTTTAGGATGTTTCAGACTGTAAAGTCCTTTTAACTAGATCTCTGGCGAAGATGTAGAAGCACTTTATGGGACTGTAAATTTCATGTTGAACAGTCTTTGTGAAATACACATCTCCCCCACACACAAGCTGTTCTCTCCATATCAATCACGGCCCCTGCAAGTAATGTTTCACAAATATTCTGTAAATCACAGAAAACCCCATGATAATGTGAAATATGACTTTCACTTGTCTGTTAGACAAAAGAGTCGCACATGCCTCTCTCCCATCAGCACTAACATTTGTTATGGATAATAACACTTTCAATCACAACTATTTTTGGAAAACGGGTTTATTTTAAACCTTCCCTCCCCCACTGAAAACACTCTGCCAAGGACACAGACTCCTACAAACCACAGCCCATTAATCCAACTATGGATAAGGAACTTTTTCTTGCCACTAACTTTTTAAAAAAGTTGTCTTGAGGAATTAATGTAAAACACCTAGGTTCAAGGTTAAGGAGCACTTTATCAGGTTGGCATAAGAGAGGACTAGGTCTTTATGGACCCCAAACCTCTGACCCAATGTAAAGCAAGCTGGGGGAGAGGCCAGGTCCTTAGGAAGCATCTTCATTCTCAGCTTGATACTGTGGTCTTTCCATTGCTAGCATCACCAAGAAACCCTTTAACTCTTGCTATGACCAGACATTTGAGCCAGGCATGGTGCCTTCCTCTGGGGAGGCTGAGGCAGGAGGATTGTAAATTCAAGCCCAGCCTGGAATACACAGTGAGACCCTCTTAATACAACAAAATACATATTTAAAAAAGCAGACAGGGCCGAGTGTGGCGGCGCACACCTGTAATCCCACCACTCAGGAGGCTGAGGCAGGAGGATTACTGCAAGTTTGAGGCCAGCCTGAACTGCATAGTGAGACTCTGTCTCAAAAAGACAAAAAACAAAAGAGTAGACATTAGCTGGACATGGTGGGCCATGCCTATAATCCCAGCACTCTGGAGGCTTAAGCAGGAGGGTTGTCATGAGTTTAGTGCCCACGTGAACTACAGAGTGAGTTCGAGGCAAACCTGAATTATATAGGGAGACGCTGTCTCAAAACAAAACAAAACAAAACAAAACAAACAAAAAAACTCTCTTGATATTCTTTTTGGTTTCAGGGATGGAATCCAGGGCCTCACACATGCTGGACAAGCACTCCTCCACTGAACTACATCCCCAGCCTTTTATTTTGAGACAGGGTCTCACTAAATTACACAGGTTATCCTTGAACTCACAGGCTCCTGGCTTAGCCTCCCGAGTAGCTGGGATGACAGGTATGTGCCACTACCTTAATGTCCTCAATTCCATGGTAACCCATTGAGCTGCCTTGCTCCAGTAGCAGTTGACAGGCCCTCAAGTGAGTTTTGTGTGTAATTATACCCAGCTAATCAGCAGAAAAGCAAAACCCACCACAGTATGGATTTTCATGGATCTAAAATGCTGGTAACCTATTTTCCCTTCCTCTGCAGCCACCCCCAGGACTCACCGATCATGACTTCTATAAAGGAGCAGGCAGCAATCAGCAGGCTTTTAAGTTTCTTACAAGAGTGGGACAATGCTGGCAAAGTCTCAAGGAGTCACATCCTCGACAATTTCATTGAAACCAACCAAGGCAAGACTGGCCCTGAACTGGAGCAGGAGTTTTCCCAGGGAGCCAGCTTGTTCCTCGCACGCTTGGTGACCTGCCTTAGAATCACGTATCCTTTGCTGAACAGAAAACAAACAAGCAAAAGGAATCCTCCAAAAAGAAAGAAAGCTGTTAAGGGAGCTTTTCTCCTGACTCTCTCCAATTTTTCTTTTTTTTTTTCTTTGAGACAGGGTCTCACTATGCAGTTCAGGCTGTCCTTTTTTTGTTGTTCAGGCTATCCTTGAGCTCATTTTGTAGCCCAGGTTGGCTCGAACTTACAACAATCCTCCTGCCTCAGCCTCCTAAGGGATTACAGGCTTGCACCACCATGCCCACGCCCTTTTTTTTTTTTTTTTTTTTTTTTTTTTTTGAGACAGAGTCAGTCCAGGCTGACCTCGAACTCAAAGTGATCCTCCTGCCTCAGCCTCCCAAGTGCTGACATTACAGGCATATACCACCACACCTGGCTCTCTCTAATATTTTAGAACAGGACATCTGGTGATAAAAATATCCCAAAAGTCAAAAACTCTCTGACTTCCTGTTATTCTTCACCTCCATCCTTCTTTTTCTCCTCCTATCAAAGTTGAAGTTGCTACTCCTTTTGTCTAGGACTAATTTGTGTTTGTGCTGCACTTGAAGCCTCCATAGAGGCTATATTTTTCCTCTCTTATCATTTTCTCCTTCATTTCATTACCAGTTTTCTCCATCAGCAAATATGCAGAAATCTCTTCCACTTTAAAACATAAAATTAAGCCAGGCATGGTAGTGCACATCTGTAATCCCAGCACTTGGGAGGCTGAGGCAGGAGGACTGTTGCAAGTTCAAGGCCAGCCTGGGCTACAAAGTGAGTTCAAGACCAGTGTGAGGGAGCTGAGGATTTATCTCAGCAGCACAGCACCTGTCTGGCAAGCGCAAGGTCATCAGTTCAATTCCTGGTACCGGAAAACGCCCCCCCCCCCAAAAAAAGACCAGTCTGAAGTGCAGAGTGAGAATCTATCTCAAAAAGACAAAATAGTAATAATAATAAAATAAAATAAAGCCAGGCATGGTGACACACGCCTGTAATCCCAGCACTTAGGAGACAGAGGCAGGAGGATTGTTGTGAGTTCAAGGCCAGCCTGGGCTACAAAGTGAGCTCAAGACCAACCTGAACTGCATAGCAAGACCCTGTCTCAAAAAGACAAAAATAAATAGATAGATAAAATTAGATCACTGACTCAAAGCTGAGTCCCACTCAGTTCCTGCCCACCCTGATGCTGCTTGCCCCAAAGGTTTCCGATGCTCCCTGGCTCCTCTCCCGCCCCCGCTGCTTTCTCCCCTGTGCTCTGCCTTCTGGCTTCTGTGCCCCTCGCTCCCCTGGGCGGGTCTCACCTAGGTTACTAGTAGTTTTCTCCTTGCAGGGCCCAGTGACTGCATGCTCATTTCTTTCTCATTGCCATTTGTCACCGTTCCCACCTCTGCCAATGCCCTGGCTCTCCTGGTTTCTCCTTCCTTTCTGTCCAGTGCATCTCCCCCTCAGCCGTCCCTTAAAGTTGGTGACCCTGAAGACCCCCATCCTCTGCCCTGCTCCCAGATTCTCCCTGAGTAGTTAAACCCATCGTCAGGGTGCCCGCACCACGCCAGTTAGAGGCGTCTCCAGATCTCCTTCTGGAGTCCGAGCTCCATATCTGAGATACGATCAAAACACACAATAAATGGTTTAATATTTTTATTTTCTAAATTAAGTCTATTGGGGGGCTGGGGATTTAGCTCAGCGGCAAAGTGCCTGCCTGGCAAGCGCAAGGTCGTGAGTTCGGTTCCTGGTACCGGAGAAAAAAACAAAAAAACAAAAAAAAAAAACAAAAACAAAAAAAAATAAATTAAGTCTATTGGGACATTTTACGTTTGCATAATGATCACATTCATCTTAGGGAAATTGTACATGTACAGGATATATCTTGATTCTTTTAGTATTTTTTAATTATCACAGTAAAAAACACATTGCCATTCATCTCCCTCAAAATACTCCCCCTGGCTTTGTGCACACTTATCCCACTGTTCTTACCACTTTCAAAGCATGTCTGGAAGTCCTCTTTCATGAGTGTCTAAAATGTGATCAACAGTATGGTGAATACCGCTGCCAAGTGGCATCCAGTGGCAGTGCAGGCTGGGAAGAACGCTATGAAAAGGGCCGGGATATCGCTCAGCAGGCACAAGAGCCTGCCTGGCAAGAGCAAGGTCCTGAGTTCAATTCCTGATACAAAAAAAAAAAAAAAAAAAAAAAAAAAAAACACTATGAAAAAAAAAAAAAAAAAAAAACACCATGGTGTGTCCTCATCTATGGTGGCACTGTGAGATTTCTGGCTCTTCCCCAAAGTCAAAATGACCAAAAAAGGTAAACATTTTGAATCACTTCAGGACATACCAGCCATGACCACACACTGCCACAGGGCGACTCTCGTACTTCCAACTTGGGAAACTAGGTGAACGTGAGGGAGAAGGGAGTGTGGGTGTAGCTGGGGTTGGTTTGGGACATGCTGAGTTTGAAGTGGTTGTGTTCAGGATCCCTGGAGGCAGACAGGGCTGAAGGCACGCTTCGGCACCATTGAGGTAACACTTTGAACTAGGGGATTCTTGCTCTGTGTGCCTATGGCCCTTCGTGGATTCAGCTCAGACCCTTCATATTTTGCTCCCCGCCTGAGGCCTCGCCTGTTCTGTAAGCCTCCTCCTTATATGACTAACTCCTACTCCTTTATTCAGGCTTTTTTTAAAAAAACAGAATCTAGCCAAGTTGCTAAATTACCCAGACTGGACTCAAACTTGTGATCCCCCTGCCTCCCAGAATGCTGGGATTATAAGCGTGCACCACCACGCCCAGCCTCAGTTTATTTATGTATTTATTTATTTATTTTGGTCTTTTTGAGACAGGGTCTCGCTATGCAGTTTAGGCTGGCCTTGAGCTCACTTTGTAGCCCGGCGGGCCTCAGTTTAAGCACGGCTGCTTCAGGATCTCAGTTCTTTCCCCGGTCCCTGCTCTTGTTAGGCTGGGCCTCGTGTTCTTCTCCCGTTCCAAGTGCCAGGCCCAGTGCCTGTTCAGTGGACACTGAACCAGGCTCTTCATACACAGTTGAAAATTTAGTTTCTACACCTAGAATTCCTCATAATCCCCTAACTTTTTGTGTCCCTCTCCTACAACAGAAAAAAAGAAAAAGACCAGTGATAGTGTTGTTTGATTTGGGGTTCATGGGGAGAGGATACTGGGTTTGAACCCAGGGCCTGTTCACTGAGCCATATCCCCAGCCCTTGTTTAATTTTTTTTTAAACAGGGTCTCACTAAGTCACTAGTTGCCCAGGCTGGGTTCAATCTTGCAATCCTCCTGCCTCAGCCTCCCACGGTGCCGGGATCACCACCATGCCCAGATGATAATGTTTTGAGTTCGAGTTTCTGCTTCTCCCCAGCCTTCCAGGTATGGTCCATTTTAGAAGAAAACAAATCTATATGGCATCTATATGGCATCAGTATCTCTTGCAAAACTATCGCATAAGCCTAAACCCTTCTGTAAGTCTTCCAGAATAGATCAGTACCTAAAGGTTTATGTATCATAGCGACACTCTTAATTGCCACTTATTGAGTCTTTGTATGTTCTAGGTGCTGGTTTCTGTACTGTACAGATATCTCATTTGAGCTTCACACTCAGCCTAATAGGAGGCTGCTGTTATCCCATTTTATAGATAAGGAAGATGAGCCTTGGAAAAGTTGAGTAGTTACCAGGAAAGAACAGATACGAGCCTTGAAGTGGGTCTGTCTGGCCCAAAGCCCTTGCCCTGCACTGTGGTGGGCGGTGCAGACCCACAGCCCCCCGCTGCAGCCGCTCCCCGGGGAGTTGGGCGGGTCGTCCCGCAGACGGGAAGGCCGGCGCTCACGCTCAGCGCTGAGTTCGGCTTCTGGGTTCAAATCCCATTTCCCTCAGTAGCCTGAGGTTGCCTCGCGTCACTCACGGAGCAAATGCAAATACTAACAGCGCCCACCGGAGGGCTGTCGTGAGCAAGCCAGGGCCTGGCCCATAGTAAAAACGCTGGTGCTTGTCAGCTTCTAATGACACTGCGGCAACCTTCCCGAGCTAACTGGTGGAAGTGATAGACCAGAAATATGTACAGCGTGTGGCTGTGCAGAGGAGAGTAGCCTGGGACAGAGGAAAAAGGTGACAAAGGTTGATGGACCTGGCTGGTAACTGAAGGAAAGGAGACCAGCCACTGAGGGAGGGAGGGGGCAGGTTTGGGGGCGCAGGAATAGAGACGCGGCCGCGTGGGCTGAGCCTCCACCACCGCAGCAACAGGCAGGGCAGCCTGGCTCCCCAGAAAACACGGCTTTCGCAGTGAAGCGCCTTTCCTAATGAGCCAATCTGTCTCTCCTTCTAGTGGCATCCTGGGAGCCAGGGTGCAGCAGAGATAATTTGCCTCACACCCCCACGCTCCCCCAACAAAGCACCATTACCTCCAGCCCATTACATTAGCCTTTATCAGTCGTGGAAGCTCTCAGTCATCCTCCATGAGCTGCAATAATTTCAGCTAATTTCTTAAGTGTTCTAAGAGCTTGCGATGTGTTATGAGCCTGGTAATTGTTGACTGGTTCCCGTCCTGTTGTGGCTTGATTTCATACCTCGTATCTGAGCAGATGCGTGCTCTGGGTGCTTTATTACAGTGAGGCTTTTTGCAAAGGCTCACATTAAAAAAATAACATTAAATACTGAGGTTGTTTTAAATCAGGGTTTAATTTTTCCACCATCGCCTGTTATTCTTATTAGAAGCCTTGCAATTCTTCATAAGAACAGTGACCTCCAGTGTAAAACTTCGAGCTAATACGAAATTGAGAATTAACAATGAAGCTAATTCTTTCTATTTTTTATATTTATTTTGTCTGTTTGAGACAAGGTCTCGCTATGCACTTCAGGCTGGCCTTGAGCTCACTTTGTAGCCCAGGCTGGCCTTGAACTCACAGAGATCCTCCTGCCTCAGCCTCCTGCGTGCTGGGATTGCAGGGGTGCATGCCACCACACCCGACTGAAGCTAATTCTTCTTAGAGAAGGTGCTCATGCTGAGCACCAAGGGTGTGATGGTCATGCCCTAGAGGTTTGGGAAACTGACCCTCAACTTCCTTCTGCATCTTTGATCGTTCAAGCCTCTTTGCCCTAGGGAAACTTCCTATTCTGTGGGAACAAGCCTGCACCCCTTTGCCCCCACCTCTGTGCTGCCCCCTCCCCTTCTGCCAGGGGCTCCTCTCATGGTAAAGAGTACGATTCAGCTGCCTGGTCAGCCTGGGATTGGGAACAGGCTCCGGGTTCTGCATGAAAACCACTGTGAAATGCACCCTTTAACATACTCTACAGCTATATGACCGGCTCAGGCTTAGAAAAGCTCCTGAGATCCATTGGCATCTTCTTGTCAGCTGTAAGCAGGTGAGTTCCACTCAGATTCTGCAGTCACACCTCTACCCCTCAGCTATGCCCCCTCCACTCCAATTCTGGGGTCTCCGTGGCATGTCAGGCTCGGGGTGTCCTTGGCATTCGCGCTGCACAGGACCTGGATTCTGGGAATCAGCAGGTGCCTCTGCCTCCCGGGAGGGCCCCACCCCACTTGTTCCTCCTCCCCACACTCTCCTTGGCTCTTTACCAGTCACACCTTCTTGGCTGTGAATCACGGAAAAGCAGCTCAGACTGGACTTGGGAAAGGAATGTACAGGAAGTACGGACAGGCTCCTTCACTGAAGAGCCCAGAGGGTAGAAATATGTGTTTCAGGCCTGATTAGACCCAGGGGCCCAAACAGGGTCATCAGTTCTCATTCTCTTCCTTCCTCTTTTCCTGCTTCTCAGCTTTTCCTCCTCTGTGCTCAGAGGCCGATGTGTTCTAGGATCCCCCAGTGCTCCATATACACGTCCTTACACCTCAGCCACGCGCACCCAGGCCGTGGCCTTCCCAGGGGTCCCGAGCACATCCCGACTTTCGAGCTTCAGTGGACCCACTTGGGTCACACACCTGGCACCACATCAGCTTGTGCCATCGGAGGGATTAACATACCCTGTCACTCGCTTACCCCACCCGAGTCGCAGGCCCACGAGTGGAGGGGGCCGTGATTCCGCAAGCGACAACTGGGACAGAGGCTGGAAAGCCAAAAGCAAGAAATGTTCGCTGTGTTTAACTCTGGCATTTCGCGCTGGAAAGAAGAATTTCCAAGCTATTGTATCACGTTATTTATAGACATTCCCTGGATAAGCAGCAAAGCATGTGAAGAAAGGGCCTTGGGGTGCCTTAGAAGGGTTTGTGCGAAGAAAGTCGATGTGTGTTATTCCTCCCCTCCCCCACCCTATCCTGCTTCTGACAGTAATCGGTACCTGATCGAATTTCTTGAGATCGGAGGTGTCCTGACGCTCCTGGAAATACTTGGGCTAGAGAAGGTCAAAGAAGAGGACAAGAAGGAATCCATCAGGCTTCTGCAGGTTGTTGCCAACTCTGGCAGGAAGTACAAGGAGCTCATCTGTGAAAGCTATGGTGGGTGCTGGGTGTGAGTCCACACCTCTGGGGCCTGGGTAGATTGGTGGCAGCGCCCTCCGCTGTGAGGGGAATGAAAACCAGGCAGAACTGGCTGTGCAGGAGGCATTTTGTACAGCGGACTTCTCTCTGCGTCACCAGGGGAGGACCAGGTTTATGATTTCCCTGATTGATTATTTGCTCAAGTCTTTCCATGATGGTTTGAGAAATACTCCTCCATTTTAAATATATCCTTGCCCACACATCTGTTCAACAGTGTATTAACTCTTGCTTAAAATTCTGTGTGAAACTGAGTTGTGAATAACTCTAGAAATAAAAGTACCTACTGTGTGCTGGGTATATGTAAGGATGCTAAAGATACAAAGATAAATATAACCCCCGTCCTCAAAGAGCTTACAGCCTGGTGAGAAAGATGATGACCAGGAATTTGAGTCATCAATCAAGTGCCCAGTTTGAGGGAGATAAGGAAGAGGCCATCATCACCCTGCGGCCACTTTCCAAAGATCTTCCGCCCTGCAATCCCCACAGGGACCTCCTTTCTCCCTTCCTTTTTTTTAATTTTTTTTTTTTTTTTAAAGGGTCTCACTATGCAGTTCAGGCTGGCCTTGCACTCACTTTATAGCCCAGGCTGGCGCTGAACTCGCAAAGATCCTACCGCCTCAGCCTCCTGAGTGCTGGAATTACAGGCGTGCGCCACCACGCCCAGTGCCATTTCAGATCTTAAAACACAGATTCTGACATGCTGGTGCTGAAGCAAAATCCTCAACTCGCACAGCTAGAGCTGAACAAGACAGTGCTGAAAACTGAGCCTCAATTCTTGCTTCAGTTGAACAGCCTTGGTGGAAAAGATCAAATTCTCTTTACACTAGGTAATCTTGAGTGGGGAATCATTTTCCTAAATCCCTTACCATTTAGCATTTTCTCTTCTTTGCCCAGGTGTAAGATCTATAGCAGAATTCCTGGCAAACTCTAAGTCAGAAGAGACCCAGGAAGAAGTACAGATTCTGCTGGATTCTCTGGTCCATGGTAACCCCAAGTACCAGAATCAAGTATACAAAGGCCTCATAGCTCTGCTGCCCTGTGCCTCCCCGAAAGCTCAGCAGCTGGCCCTGCAGACCCTCAGGACTGCCCAGGTGAGCTGGGCCTGCGGGCTCCTGCGGCTCCGATGCAGCTCGGTGGCCTCACAGCAGCCGCACTTCTCCCAGGAAGGAGAAGCAGCGCAGCCACCCAAGCGCGTCACTCCCACAAGGCTAACGTGGGGCAGAGAGTTCGTGCTGGCCGGCAGTGATTTGTCCTGGTTACTGACAGATCGGAAAGATGTAGGCAGACCCCAGAGTGGTTGAGACAAACAAGGTTGATGAGAAGACTGTGGAAAAGATTACAGGCATCCATTGGATAGGGGCAGAATCACGGTACAGTTGTAGCCAGTGTGTGAGTGAAGAGACCAGATCTCCACTGCCTGGAAAAGCTCCTTTTGTTCTTGTTGGCTTCTGCCCCTCTCTTGGTGCCTGAGAAAGCGAGTGAAGGCGGAGCTGGGACCTGGTGACCGCGGGAGGACAGTGTGCCTGGTGAGGGGGACCATCAAATGCTCTCAGAATGTCTCCAGATGCCCTGAGGTGGGGAGGCACTGAAAAGTGACCCAGATGCGGCCCGAACGAGGTGACAAGTTAGACAGAGGTTTCTGGGCAGAGCGTCTGGGACTAAGGGCAGTAAAATGAGTCAAACTTGCCCCAGCCTTGGGGTTCGCAGCAGGGGGAGCTGTCCACCACTGAGACCAGAAAAGCTGAGCGTGCGGCGCAGCCTGGGGTCCCCAAACTCTGGGAGGCTGAGGCACAAGGTTCGAAAGCCACTTAGTGACTTAGTGAGACCCTGTGTCCAGGCCCTGGGTTCAATCCCTAGTACCACCAAAAAAGAGGGAAAGAAAAAGATCAGTCTGCCCATGGGCAGTAGAAAGTAAAAGCCTGAAGCTCCAGAGAAAGGCCCGAGAAAAAGATGTCAGTGTGAACTTTTTTTTTTTTTTTTTTTGGTTTTTTTTGAGATAGGGTCTCGCTATGTAGTTCAGGCTGGCCTTGAGCTCACTTTGTAGCCCAGGCTGGTCTCAAACTCACAACAATCCTCCTGCCTCAGCCTCTGGAGTGCTGGGATTACAGGCATGTACCACCATGCCCGGCTCACTGTGAACTTTGTAAGCAGAGCGGTGATGACTGACACAGAAGTAAGTAAGATCTCTGGGCAGACCGAGTCAGAGAACAGGGGAAAGGGCAACTCCGAGAGCCAAGCAATGAGCCGAGGAGGCAGGAGCAGCAACAAAGATCTGACCACCATGGGGACAGTGCTTCCGGTTTGCCCCACCCCGGGGCCTCCTACATGCCAGGCACCAGGAAGCTTGTGACCCTTGTTTCGTCTGCACAGCAGCTGATGGAGGCAGCAGGGGTAAAGTTTGAAGGGGTAGGAAGAAGGGTTGACAGACGTGTAAGATTCCTGAGAAAGAGAAGATTTTAGGAGCTTGCATGAGTCCTACTGTCCCCAGCCTATGTCCTCCCCTCGCCCCCAGCCGTGGTCACAGACCGTGTTCCCAAGGCTCTGCCAGTCCTCAGCTTAATGTGTCCTGATGCAGAGGCTTCAGTGGCAACCTGGGCAGACTCTCGGCCACATTCTGGCTGCCCTCTCTGCCCCTCCTCCCCACAGGGAGGGCCTGGTCCAGCAAGTCACCCGGCCCCATTTTACCCTGGCACCGGGCTGCTTGGAAGTCCCAGCTTCATTTCTTCCCAGGTGTCAGATCTGAGGAGTAACTGCCTTGTCCTTGTGTTTGTCTTGTCAGTTGATCGTCGGAACCACGCACCCCAGCATCGTGGACTGTGTGCTGAAGGCGCTGGGCACGATGCACCTGGAGGTCCAGTATGAAGGTAAGGGCTTCCTGTGGGTCTCAGATGGTTCAGGGAGAGACAGATGAGCTCCCAGAAGCCATCTCCTAGTCAAGACCTATGCTGTTGAGTGCCCTGGACAACCTTGACAGATAGAAGAGCCTGGTTCAGTAACAGTCCGCAAGCTGTTCAGAAAATGACTACCACGCCGTGAGCATCACATTCAGCTCAGCCCCGTGGTGCTTTACAACAGGGCTGGCCTCAGTCCTAGTCTTGGGCTGGGCTTCGCCTCAGAGTGGAAGTCACCTCACTGTGCTGGGGATGGAACTCAGGGGTGAAACTCTTGCCTAGCACTTGTGAAGCCATGGAGCCAATCCCCAGCACCAGCAAAAAAGAAAAGAGTCTCCCTGAGAAATGTCTGCTTCTAAGGAACTAAAGTGGATAATGACAGTATTGTGTTCATTGTTGAGTGCCCCTGTGTGTCAGCCACTTTCCATATTCATTTCATTTAATTCTCAAGATTACCATAAGAGCACAAACCTTGGTTTTCAGAAGTTGGAATGAATGAATAGTGGAAATAGGTATTTTTGCCAGTCATGGTGGCAGACGCCTGTAATCCCAGCACTCAGGAGGCTGAGGCAGGAGGATCATTGCAAGTTTGAGGCCAGCCTAGGCTACAAAGTGAGCTCAAGTCCACCCTGAAGTGCATAGCGAGACCCTGTCTCAAAAAGACCAAGAAAAATAAAAGGTTTTTTTGCATTTTTCAGAATGAAGCATTGATACACAGCTAGGTAAATTATGCTTCCCAAGGTTACACAGCCAACTGGATTCCAACCAGATCTGTCCTACCTGAAGTTGATGCTTTCTTTTTGTTTTGTTTCTGGTTTTGTTTTTTTGTCTTTTTTTGAGACAAGGTCTCACTATGCAGTTCAGGCTGGTTTGAGCTCACTTTGTAGCCCAGGCTGGCCTTGAACTTGCGATGATCCTTCTGCCTCAGCCTCGTGAGTGCTGGAATCACAGGCATGCGCCACCACGCCTGACTATGCTTTCAACATACAGCGCATGGCAGGGATTTAAAGGATGGTATTTCCTTCCCTCTCCCTATAGTGTTACAGAGAAAGGAAATTCTAGTTTGTTTTCTCTTTTTATTCATTTATTTGGGACAGGGTTTTACTACATAATTTAGCCTGGCCTCAAAATCACCTTGATTCTCTTGCCTCAACCTCTCCAAGTGCTGGGATTATCTAGCTGGAGTTTCTGTTTTCAACAGAAGGGGTCAAACAGGGTTCTTCAAAGAGCTGGGGATTTAGCTCAGCAGGACAGCGGCTGCCTGGAAAGTGCAAGGTCGTGAGTTCAATTCCTGGTACCAGAGAAAAACCAAAAAAAACAACAACAGAAAACAAACCAAAAAAAAAAAAAAAAACCAGGGTTCTTCAGAGAAGGTGGCATTTGAACTGAGGCTTAGAGAAAGCAAAAGTAGAAAGGATAGGAAGGCATTCTGGTGAAAATAGGGAAATACAAAAGCTGGGTGCCGAGGTATGCACCTACAACCCTGGCCCTAGGAAGACTGAGGCAGGAGAATCTCAAGGTCAAGGTCAGCCAGAGCTACATAGCAAGTTCAGTCCAGCCTAAATTGCATACTGAGACCATCTCAAAAAAGAAAAGTGGGGCAGTACAAGATGCAGTTGGGGAGTGCTGTGTGCCCCGAGCACGTGTTTGGGGGCAGCGTTGGACCCGAATGTCATGCTATCACTGTTTGTATTGTCTGACAAGTGTGCTGTGCTGAAACCTGCTGAGGACAGCGGGAGCAGAGTGTCCAACTGCGGAGCAGGCGCCCGCGCCAAGTCCAGGCCCCGCGCACAGCTGTGGCAGGGAGCACGGGGGTGACCTGGCGGGGACTCACTGAACCCAAAAGAGTGACTCCTGGGTGCTCCCCTGCTCGCCTCAGGCTCCGCAGTAGTTTGCTGCCCGGATCCCTGGCACGCTGCTATCTCTGGAGTCAGAGCTCGCCCACCTCTTCAGCCGTGGCCCTGCCTTTGTGCCCTAGCAGCACACACTGGCCGCGGCAGCGGGAGCGTGAAGCCCTGTCACGGCCTTTGCGGTTGGACGTCAGCCCTTGTGATAACAAGGAAATTGAGCACCTCAAGATAGTGTCGCGTGTTCAGGTGCTCAGGAAAGGTCTGCTGCTGTCCGAGACGGCCTTGGTGCAACTCTGAGGGTGCGTGTGTGTGCGTTGGCCACTAGGGGGAGCTGGTTCCTTGATCGCCCCAGAGATGACGTTGACCAGACGCCCGGCCGTTTCCACGACAGGGAAAGAGGCTCGGCCAGGTCCTAGAGGGGGACCTACCTCACGGCGGGTGGCCGAACGGACCCGAGAGGAATTTCTCAGAGCTTGAGGTCACCAAATTGCAAAACCCGGGGAAGCCCCTAGATGATGGTAGCAGAGAAAAGAAGCCTGTGCCCAAGAGTCTGGGTGGCACAGCGCCGAGTCGGGGACGCGGGCGAGTGGCTGACCTTAAAGGGCAGGAAGGCTTTGTTTTGTTCTTTGAACAAATATATATTTAGTGTGTGTGGTGTGCCCGGAACTGTGTCAGCTACTGAGCGTGTGTGTGTGTGTGCGTGTGCGTGTGTGTGTGTGCGCGCGCGCGCGTGCATGCGTGAGTCTGGAGAAGGAGAGAAGTGACTTTAGGAGGAAGAAGGCGGCCTCTCCTTCCCACGCAGGAGGGGAAGGGGCTTCTCAGGCACGAGTGGGGAAGCCGGCGGCGGAGAGGCGGAGCTGTGGGTGTCGCTGACGCAGGGGCCCCTACAGCCTCCCCTCCTCCTTCCGTCGGAGACTCCGCCTCCCGACTCAGGTCTGCCAGCCCCGGACCGCATACCCAGGCCTTCCCAGGAGCGCAGTGTCCCTGTGCCGTTCTCGTTCCTGCAGGTGGCTTCTCGCTTCCCTCCGGTGGATCAGTCTCTGATGTGCCGATGTGCCTGTATCTCCCTCTTGAAAAAGGACCCCTGGGTTTCGTCCACGGCCCCTCCTGAAAGGCAAGATCAGATGGCACTGTTCAGGGGCCAGGCCCCTCCTGGACTCCAGCCTCCCTTCCCGGTGCTGGTTTTTCCCACCTCCTTCCTCCTTGACCTCCCCCTGCCTTTCACCGGCTCGGTTCCCCACTTCGGTGACTTCTGTGGTGCGCGTCCTTCAAGCGTCCCCCTGGCTGCTCTCGCCATGCTTTCTCGTGTCTCTAGCACACTGTCAGGCCGGCCTCCTCATCGCTAACATTCTCCTTGCGTGGTTCTGTCTAGTGCTGTGATGTTTTGTTTTGTTTTGCTGTTGTTTCGTTGTTTGATTGTTTGGGGGTTTTGTTTGTGTGTGTGTGTGTCTTTTTGAGACAGGGTCTCCCTATGCAGTCAGGCTGGTCTTGAGCTCACTTTGCAGCCCAGGATGGTCTCGACCTCATAGCGATCCTCCTGCCTCAGCCTCCCAAGTGCTGGGATTATAGGTGTGCGCCACCATGCCTGGCTCTAGTGCTGCCTTTTAAATGCCATCTATAGATAGATGTAAACATAGATTCAGGCAAATCTGTATCTCTGGCCCTCATTTTCCTTGCTGTCACTGGGTGGATGTCTAATAGATCATTCAAAGTTTACGGCTACAACAGAAATAATTTTTTCCCCAAAACCTCTAATTTCTCCTATTTTTCTCTATCTCAGTAAAAAAATATCCATCAACCTAACTGCTCAAGTAAAACCTATAAAACTGGTTGCCTTCTCCCTGTCCCGGCCCATCCCGACCCTCCCAGGTCTCCCAGGCTCTTTCCCACTTCCTCTCTCTGTGCCCTGGTGACCACCTCAGCCTAACCCGCCATCCTCTCTCCTGATTTATCTCTTTGGTCCCATTCTGGCCCCTGGTATCTTTCTACCACCACAGCCACAACAATCACTTCAAAAGATAAGTTAGGGGCTGGGAAAACAGCTCCTGGCAAAGCACATGCGTGGTATGTGCCTGGCCCGAGGCTCTACACTCCGTGCCGGGGCTCAGATGGAAGGTGCTTCCTGTGCGGTCACAGTGTCATCCCCGAGAGGGGCCCTCTAGAGCCCCTCCCCAGTGTGCCCTTCGCTTTCCATCACCTGCTCTGTTCTTTCAGCCCCGATCTGATCAGATCACAGCCCCGATGGTAAGAAGTGCCCGGTGCCTTCCGTGAGCCTTGTATCTTGGGAGTCCTTAGGGCCAAGGAAGCGGTCTAGAGAGGGAGGGAAAGCCATGTGAGCATCAGGTGTGGTGGAGCAGGCTGACCTGCACGCCTGTAATCCCATCCCTCTCGGAGCTGAGGCAGCAGGATCTGAAGTTTGAGCCCCACCTAAGCACTTTAGCAACTTGGTGAGACCCTGTGTCCTAGTAGAAAAGGAGCGGGAATGTGATTCCGTGCAAAAGCCCTGGGGTCGTCCCCAGCATCTCTGGGGGTGGGGAGGTTGTGGAGGATGCTGAGGTGATAATGTCTTTAGCACACAGAGAGTGGCAGTTCCCATCACCTATTGTTCATAATAAACTGTCCCGAATTTTGTGTCATAAAGCTACCCTAAAATGTCCCCACAGCCTGTAAGTCTGGATGCGGAGCAGGCACAGTGAGATGGAGGCCTCTGGGCCTGGGTCACATCAGGATCACTGGTTTTCCCTGTGCCTCGGGCTGCAGTGTGGCTCCACCTGGCGCTCTTGCTGATTCTGTCTTCCCTTTACATTTGGATATGTTGTTCGTCATGACAGTTTTGTCATTAATTTTTTTTTAAAGATTACATTGAAGCCAAGTGTGGTGGCGCATCCCTATAATCCCAGCACTTGGGAGGCTGAGGCAGGAAGATTGCAAGTTCAAAACCCAACCTGGGCACCTTAGCAACCTAGCAATACCTTGTCTCAAAATGAAAGTTTAAAAAAAAAAAATGGAAATATAGCTCAGTGCAAAGGCCCTGGTTCAATCTCCAGTACTGATGAAAGATAGGAAGGAAGGAAGGAAGGAAGGAAGGAAGGAAGGAAGGAAGGAAGGAAGGAAAGAAAGAAG